CAAAGGCAGCCTTGAGGTAGTCATGGGGGGTAGAACTTTCATTTTTGGCTACAGGGGTAAGGGTTTTAATGCAAGAATCCTTGTAGTCGGCGGAGGCACAGATTGCGCTGACGCTTTTCATTGTCGTTGATGTACCACCGCTGGCAATGTCTTTTGCAGACCAGTCATCCTTGGGATGCCTACCTTTGTTTACACCAACAACAGTGCCGATGACAACACCAACAACAAGGATGAGTGATATACCAAGGGCTACAAGCTTTCCCATTTCTGTAATGGCCCACTTTCACTTTCTTTCTCCTCTAAACAAACAGAGGTTGGTGCTGAGGAGATTGTGTTCGAGGAGGTTTATAACTTGCACGGTTAGTCTCATTTTAGCATATCTACAAACTAAATAACACCATGAAAGTTTCATTAAGAATGGGGACTTTGACTGTGCACTATTGTTCTTTTGGGAAACAAACAGTTAGAGGCAGTTCCAAATTTCTTATTAACCACTGGTTTTCCTACAAGAACTCATAATTAATCAATCGTATAATACTTTTGACTTTTTTGTTTCTAATTTCTATATATATATGTTGGGGTAGTTTAAGAAATTACCTGAGTGATTGATCATAGTGATAGGATAGTCCACTTTATTTGACAATGTGAATATCAAGGTTTATACTATCTCTAATAGAAACATAAATTGTTGATAGAGGATTTCAATTATATTTGAAATCTAATTTTGCAAAATGTAATTATGTTTTACTATTATTTTATGAAACAAATTAGCAAAAAGTTTTAATCCCGGGATCCATTCGAGTAGAGAGTGTGACATTGCATCTAAATGCTAAGGGAGAGGTCCTTCCCTGTTGGGTAGTGTTGTGATCACATAAATTCATTATCCTTGGGTCTTCATATGGTGGATGAATCAAATGATCATTAGGTGTAAATGTTGGACCCAAACTAAACCAATGCTGATTGTGTCAAGGGTTCAATGCCCTGAGTAGTGAATTCCGCCTAGCCTCTTTCAAGGGTAGGGTTGAACCTTTATAAACTTGTGTAAGACCTTTTGAAGTCCCACGCCATATAATATCAGGCCCAAAGTGGCCATACAACACTTAGGAACACAATCCTTTAAGAAAAATGGGCTTAATGCCCATTACTAATGAGATTAGTTAAGTTGTTAAGTTGTCATGTGATTTTGGTCGAAACAAGGCATGGATGCATGGTTTTGGGTATGGAGCACCTATCCTCTTAAGAGGATAATGGTTATCTATTAAAAGAGTCTAGATACAAATTAGTTTTGGATAATCTCTTAATTAGATTAGGAGAGTGCTCCATATAAGGGGGTTAAGAAGAAGAGAGCAGATAAAACTTGTTCTCTTCACTCTCTTGCTCTCCTCTTCTCTCTTCTCTCCAGAAACCATATTACAACCTAGCCATTAAAATAATTGATTTTATCAGTTTTTCCTCTGAGTTTTTGCAAGAAAAACATTGGAAGAATCAGACTCACGCATCCCATTCGATCCAAGCAAGTTGAATAGAAGCTTTAATGAAAACAATGTTGTTGAATTGGCTTCTCCCGTACACTGCACCGTCTTTAGTTGGATGCTAGTTTTGGAATTGATATTGGGCATGATTCTCTATAGGAATTGCAATTTGTGGTCTCTGTATTAGGTACAATCAGGTTTATTTTTGGTTCATTCTCTTACTCTCTTCTCTTCTCCCTTTGTCCAACAAACCCTAGTTCGAACCATCTATGGCAAGGCTGAAAATGGTCAAGCCTCCACTGTATTTTTGGCAAAAGCCTAAGAAAGACTCAACCTTAGACTACTGCAACATATCCAAGATAGTTTAGAGATCGGTTTTGTGGAAAAGGGAATTTTTGAATCGATTTCTCTTTGCAATTGCACCATCTTTAGTTGGAGGCTAGTTCAAGTCTAACACTAAGTGTGAATTACCACCATGGGAGCTACTTTTGTGCATTCCATATCAGGTATAGTAAGATACTAATTTAGGTTTCAAACCTAATCTTTCCGATGCAAGATCGATCTAGAAATTTCAAATTCACTACAAGAAAAATTACTTTTAGCGGCGGTCAAAACTGCCGCTAAAAGTCCCTAAAACTGCCGTTAGAAGTTTTACTGACAGTCAGCAAAATGTCGCTAGAAGTTCTAGCGACAGATTTTCGGCTGTTGGTACAACGGATGGCTGCCGCTAAAAGTAGTTTTAGTGGCAGTTGCGATTGCCGCTAAATCTATATTTTTTTTTTTCTTATAATCCGTTCACTTCAAATAACCTGTTTAATTTTCCACTCATCTACATCGAAAGGAAATACAAAAATCAAAACATAAAATTACAATGCAATTTAAAACTCTATTCCATTCAAAACATATAAATTTACAAAAAAAATCATCATCCGTTCTCTTTAGTACAGCAATTTACAAAAATGACCACGACCCACTTTAATACAAATTTCATCATCCTTTATTAAAATTAAAAACGCTTGATTTACAAAATCTTCTCCCAAAATCCAAAGAAGATGAATACCTGCAAAAACAATCATAAATAAACTTGAATAAAACCCATGAATAAGATACTAAGTTAATTAATTCTCATTAGCATTCAGCTTCCTACTTTTTCAAGCAGTCCACTTGACCATACAAGGAATTGGAGAACCACCAGAATGCAATCGTGGCAGATACAACATCCATTAGTAAAAGCTGGCACTTATGCTATGCAGCACAGCTTTTCAAGAGATTTTTACAAGTCAAATAACATTTGGTCTAAATGATAGGGTTTCAAATTGTACTAGAAACCTGGTTCGAACTTGCCAGGATTCTTCTCCTTTGAAGGTATATATGTGGAGTGCTTCCTTCATATCTGGTAAAGTTGTCTTGTTCTCCCCTTGACAATGAAAATAAACGGTTGGCTTGGCATCAAACCGTTCATGCGTTTGAAAATTATGAATGGACTTGAGCATAACAGTTCCAGATGAAAAGGCTCCTGCAAAGAAACACATCACCATTCAAGTTGTTAGAAAAAGGCAATAAATCCACTGTTTATCCATAGAGCATTTGAGTACAGAGTAGACTACAGAGCCAATAAAATCAGCAACACCATTTAATTTCAGCCACAACCAACTCTAAATTTATCTTCATGTTTAGTTTATTCAGGAGACTAACTTGGGCACTAGCCTGCAATTGATAAGAGTTAAGTTTTGAATTTGTAATCCTATGGAGATGTGGCATTTTTGAAAGAAAAAATATTTACTTCAATAGAAAAAGGTCATGGCCGCAATGACTAGTAACTATCATCAATTCAGCAAGGTCAGAATTTCAACAGTTTATATAACACAATTTAACAACATAAATAGACATCATACCCCGAACTTTTTTTTTTGGAAAAAGAAAAACATACAATTGAACTTTATGCAACAACAACAAAATACATGAAGCATGCATTTATTTCATAATTAATACCCTTTTGCCTCTGTCCTAAAATCCCCTTCTACATTCGTGGTTTCATGATTTCCATTTACCTAAATAAATAATTAGATATAACAGGGCCACCATATCAAATCAATAACTTTGAACTGATAAGTAACTGCAACAAAGGAAAAAAAAAATCTATAACTACTGGATGGCTCAATGTCATCCAGTAGAATTTGAATTGAAAACTATAAAATCCTTACAAAAAGGAAATCATGATCAAGAATTGACAAGTAGCATTAGATATAATTACCAATTGTTTCTTTTTTCTTCTGTATTACCAGATGGTAGACATTGTCACAGAGCAATGGATCCAGATTCAAAAACTTGGTGGTTCAGAGTGGAAATACCCCCCCCCCCCCATGGCCCATGGGCAATGATTCTGGTAATCTGGTGCTAAGCTACAGTGCATTCTACATCAAAAATCCATTTAAACATGAATCTTTTCTGTAGGATGATGGAGGAGTGATGTAGCCAAACCCAAATAGTTGGAATAAGGCTCATTTAGTTAAGCTGAGTATGCACATATCAAGAAGCAACAGATATACAGGGCAATTGTCAAGCAACCTAATTCACAATCTCATGTGAACAGAACCTGTGAATAGATATTTAGGCTCATTTAGTTAAACTAATTCCATACAAAAAATAACTAATAAGATAAATAATTTAACTCAACAACATGTGAACAGAACCATAAGCCAATTACAGAACTTAATTATATTAAGACTTCAATGAAATTTCATTGAAGCTCAAATAGAACTTACGAAAAAAGAAAGCATATTGCGAACTTCAGGGCAGGTGGCATGTCCATAAACAATGAATTTGAGAAAAAAGAAATACGCCTTCTAGCTTCTGAAGGGTTGGTACATCCATTGCAGACTCCTTCACAGTAAGCAACAGATGAAGCCTCTTGATCTGTAGAGGTAAATAACGAAATATGTAACTACAGAATGAACATTTTTCAATGATACACCAAATTATTTTGATCCTGCTACTTTGTGTAATGTTGGGTAGGATTGATGCAGCATACTTGTACTTTAATATAGTGGTTCACCATACATGGTGAAACTCACCTTCTCCTTCCAGGCTTTTGTCTCTTCAACTGGAAACTTGATTGCTCCTTCTGATGCAAATAACTGATGTTCTAGGGGGGTTGACTCGTCACTCCTTCCATAAGATCCACCATGGCTCGAATCTGGCAAACTACTCAAGAAATATACTGACTTCATAAGAAGATACCAAAGGCATTGATCCACCTAAAACAAGAATTGCACAACAACACCTTACCCAATCTGACCATCCGCATATATATCATTTTAAATTCAGTGATAAGTGTCTCCTCACTTATATGCTTGTCAACTTCCTCAAATATATCATTTATAATCCTACAAATAAAAGACAGTAGATAAGCAGCGCAAGGATATGATAAAGCACAACAAAAAATAATACTTGCCAGATAAAGCACCACAAAAAAAGAGAAGTATCACTTACTTTTTCTCAGTGTCCCCCTGGACTAAATAAAGCACCACAAAATAATGCTTGTCAATAAAGTTGAGCCCAGTTTTTTTCTAAACAATTTTTTGGCTTTGGTAAACTTTGAGTTTGGGGGTGAGGAGGGTGAAGGCAGGAATTAGTCCCAGGTCAGTGGGAACCAAATCCACTGACTTTACCAGCCATATGGCAATTCATGGCACCTGCTACACTTGTCTGCTTCAAGAATTCTCGCAAACCTGGACATTCAAACACTGTGACATGATTGACCTTGGATTTTCCATCAGATCCTTCAAAAACAGTGTATGTTCGATTAAGTTTCTTCCATGTATAATGAGTTATGGATAGATAACTGGATAAATGACAAAAAAACTATTAAACAGATCTTATATGATGATACACATTCCAGCTCAAACCACTTCAGCCCAGCTTCTATTGCTTGATTACGGACTATTGCAGGCAAGCTAGATGTCTCATATGCACATACCAGGGTTTCACCCAAGTCAAGGACCACCTACATACCAAAGTGCACCTATTAAAATCTATATATTCTGAAGTAAAAGCAAGGTCTATGCACAACAAAAGCTAAAATAATATAACTAGCAAATAAGAATTAAGAGAATAATTGATCTAGAAAGTAAGAAGAATGCTGGCCTATTATTTTCCTTCAACTTTCAAGTCTAGCATGAGAGATGTTTTAGACTTGATAGAGAAAAAGTAGTTAATAGACTGCCTATGTTGGGGACCATTTCTTCTCCCTTTTTTGGCACCATACAAACCAGAAAACAGCAAACAACACCATTGAAGGTATATATAGGCAGTGGACTCTAGAGCTTGGAAATGTACAAGGGAAGAGTAATTCAGCCTTCTAAAGAACAATGTTGCTGTAAAAGAATCTTAATGTTTAAGTTTTAAGTTTTTGCCTCTTGGGTCGTGTTGGAATGCTCCAACCTGTTGTACTTTCCTTAATTTTATTTAATGATTAGTGAAATTACTTGCCGATAAAAACAAGAATCTTAAAGCAAGATCTTCTTATCCCTTTGTCATGGGGCTGGTTTTTGTTTGTGGATCTTGAGCAGAGCCTCATTCATTGGCTCAATTTCCCTATCATTTAGGTGTGTTCTGAGACTTGGGTTCAAAACTGTCTCACCAGTGAGGATCTCCAAGCACTCTGAAAAATGAGATTTGCCATCCTAGACTGCAATATAAATAGAGAGGTATATATCCATTAGGGGATGATCTTCATGCCAGGGATCTACCCAGAATTTTCCCCTAGTTCCTTTCTCCAATTTTGTATCTGATGTCTATTATAAAATGACTGTAAGCTTTCCCAATCCAATTCCACATTAAATATTCCTAGAATTGTTTAAGATTCTTGTTGCTCCCATTACCCATTGTAAATTTCTTATTCCATAATTTGTGACAATAACCTATTGACCTTCCTCCAAGGTCTCCCAGTTCTTTATTGAAGCATCAATACCATTTCCTTAGTAGTTAGATGCCAAAAGTGCTAAGGTCACAGATGTTGAGACTCCTACTTGTGTTTGAGGATAAAACTTTTTGCATTCAACTCTATAAGTTTCTCATCAACTATTTTAACTAGTTTATGTACCATGAAGAGGAAGGGAAACTAAAAATTGGGTTGTCCTGCATCACACACACATGCATCCAGATATTATATACACAAATAGAGATAGAGCATCCAATCCATCCCACAATATGCAGGATTCAGTTGGAAAATTATAGGGGATGACCAAACCCGGTAGCATTTCAAGTACATGGCATTGTGGCACCAAAAAAGGAAAAAATACTTTTTATGAAGAAACCTGAAGGGCTGCAAACAGACTGGATCAAATCAGATATAGGGTAGACCCAAATTTGATTATTCTGATTTGAATCAAATATTCAAATCTTACCTATCAGATTTATATTGGATTACAATTGAATTCAGATTACAATTGGATATTGAATAGCATTGATAAATTAAACTAAAAATGATCAAATTTTATATTATTAATAGAATAAACTAAAAATGATCTTGATATTCTATATCATGAGCAAAATATGTTGAAAATAAATTTTATGAAACTTGTACCAATGGCTCTTTAGTAAAAACAGAACAGTCAAACCAACTTATATATATATATATATATAAGCAACATTTAAATCAAATTGAAAAGAATTGGATTTTATCAAAAGATTGGACGGGGTGGATCCATATTTGTTCCAACTGTAAACAAATTAAATTCATATCACCCTTAACTGGATCAAATTCAAATTTGAATAAATGGATACCAATTGCAGCCCTACAAAACCTCAAGAATTTTGAAACCCATAGTTCTAGGAGGAACCTTAGATAAAGCCTGGTGGCATAAATTATAATGGAGAATATCAAAATATTAGAAGCAACTACATTTGAATGGTTTCTAAGCAGTGTGGGCACGAAAGGATGGAAGCTCCATTTTTATCAGCAAATGGAAGTTCGAACAATTAGAAAGTGGTTTAAATCTAAAGGAATTGAAGAGAGAGAGAAGGAATTTACTTAGATGTCGGGAGTAGAATGTTCCTATGAATGTGAAGCTTTCTTTGATAGATTAGCTATTGAAATCCAATCCTTGATCAATCCTACAACCTGTAGAGGAATTGGATGGATTAGAGAAAAGAGAAAAGAAATTTATGGTACAAAGGCCCATTACCCGATGATGGCCCAACTGTCTGATGCATAAAGAAAAAACATTTCATGTGCAATTATACTATTCAGATTTCAAAATTTGAATAATCACTCTTCACTATTGCAACAATAAAAGGTCCTTGGTCCCATTGGCACTAAAGAAGAGAAGGGCTTTGTCTCCAACCTGAACAGTTTCAGATTGACTCACAGATCTGCAGATTTTAGAAAATCCTATTAACTTCTTATGCATGGATGTTCTGATGTGCATTACGATTCAGAAACACAATTAATATAGAAGTTTTTCCCACTAGTCTGATTATACAAACTTGGGGCTTGTCTCTTTTAGATAAAAATGTATATGGTGCCTCAGGAACAATGCCATTGTGACCATTATATAAATAGTTCAGTCTTCCAGGATTCAAGATACAGACTGCCTCTGTTGGGGTAGGCCCAAGTCATGTAGAGGCTTCCTATCAAAAAGGAGATCGGCTTCCATCAGGGCAAATCTGTGCCCACACCAATCTAACAGCCTTTCTCAACCTTGCATTGGGAATATCTCCCCATGAAATAAAGTACATAAGTGCAGAGATATTCTCAATGCAAGGCAGTAAAGGCTGCTTGAATGGGCTTTGCCCTGATTGAAGCCGAACTCATCAAAAAGATTCTAGCTATTCAATCAACAAACTTCATTTCCCCCACAGAAAAAGTATTGAACATTCAGCAGTAGACAGAACTTTGATGGTCAGAGCCAATATGAATCATGTGTCCAAGAGGCAATCCATCATTCAATTCTTTGGTGTAATATGTGAATCACATGCATCAAAGCAGCCATTGCTATTAGATTGTTCTTACCAGTAGTAGAACAAGTTTACATAAATGTGTATAATAACACCCACCTTATCTTTAATGCCACCAACTGGTAATAGCAGACCCTACAATGTCATCTCTCCTGTCATTGTTGTGCCTGCTCTTACTCTTTTTTGACTGAAGAGTGACACCAGTGATATTACCAGGATCACACCACCTGAGGGTCCATCCTTTGGTACAGCCCCAGCAGGAAAATGTATATGAATATCTCGTCCCTCCATCAAATTGATTTCCCCAGCAGCTGCCAACTTAAGATCTGCTACCCTCGCTCTTACCTATTAAAATAAAAAAAATAAAAGCTTTTCAGTAAGAATAATGGAAAGAGTGGAAGATAAATTTATCCCTCAGAAATGCAAAGGATAAAAGCTGAACCAGCTATTTTGTCCCCTTGCTCTTACCCACCAAGCATGAGGTGGGATGATCATAAGATGAAGTTTTCATGTCTTTGCTAAGGGGATACTAATATCAACTTTATGTAGATGCTTGATGGTTAATGGGTACATTTGGCATATATATATTATGCATGTCCATCTAACTACATGGTCATGATTTTCCCAGCTGCATGGATATGCCCAGTACTTACACTCAAGTGTATGTCCAGGGTTGCCCATCTACTAGGGGATATATTAAAATGTCTGAAAGCATTTCATGCCCAACTGTGGTATATGCAGTTATCTCCCTATCAGTAACAACTATTCTACAAGTGTATTTGCACTTGAATCCCACTTTTGCTGATACTTGCGCTCAAGTGTACACCACATGAATCCTACTTTTGCTGATAAGATTTATATTACTGTTAACATATTCTACAAAAAGTCTACAGGTGTCTTGTGTGAATTGACATTTGATGGCATTTAGGCAGATATGAATACATGTGACCACCGTCTAGAAGCTGAAAATTTTACTTCAGTTAGGACGTCAAGAAAATTAGATCAGTTAAAAAGATTTACTTTTCTGAAGATATCAAAGAAAATCAAAGAAATTTTAGAGAAATAATTAAAAGACGCACTGAAGAGGGATAAGAAGTTGATCCCATATGGTCGGACAATGCTTTTCTGAATTACTGAGTTGATTTCAAAATGAACAAGAAAACAAAATCAACACGACCATGCCATTAGAGTAATTCAACAATACTTGTTCCCTTCAGTTAAAGGAAAAAAAAAAAAAAAAACAAAGGTAAACCTTAGCCAAGCCTGAATGAAGTCTTTGGGCCAACTCAAAATCTTTAGAACAAATCATTTTATGATGCAGGTAGACATTGCTGCTGGAATGCATAAAGGTCTATATGCCATATTTCAACATAAATATTAGACATTTTAGAATGAATCTTTGTCTTGATCATATAGGTTTTGAAAAAGAACTTGAATGCTTGAATTTTGTTAAATGCAAAAAATAACAGGATAAAATACTTTTTCCTTTTCTATTTTCTTTCATTTCCCCTGTTTTTGTGGTTCTGACAAGCAAAGGTGCATTATAAGCAATATAAAGAACTATAACTGCAATTTCCCTGAAAATGTTGGGGAATATGCATTTGGATAGAACTAGTTGTATATGGATTACAAGGAAGCTTTCCTCTCAAAAAGAAAGACCAAATAAATAATCAAGTAGAATAGAAGGAACAGTCATCCCCTTGTGCAGATACTCAAAAGGACAGAGGAAATGGATTCAATGGTAAACAAATCATAAAATTTATTTGGAGCATTTAGTTCAACTCTTGAAGGATATTATAGATTCCAAACTCTTAGTTTTGTTCTTTAAGTTATGGATGCACTAACAAGTATTTTGTTCTTTTTTTATTGTTAACAGGCATTTTATTCTCCTTACAGGAATAAACATAATTCATAGTGTAAGCATGCCAAAAGAAATCAAAACCAAGTTACAGAATATGGAGAAACCTACCCATGTAAGTGCTATCTGTGCTGATTCTTTGATAACATCACCAAGTTGCCCAGTAAGACGCACATCCCCCTTTCCTGCCATAGTTGTGGCCTCAACAAACTGAACCTCCCCACCAAACAAGCACAACTGATACAACAGGAGTTGCAACTCATTCTGCAGTCTCTCATCAAACCTTCGAGGCTGCAGCATAGTACGACCATAATATATGATCAGCTATACCAAAAGTACAGTGAGAAAGCTAAATCTGAAAAACGAATATACGAGGAAACCTAGGTATTCAAGCAGAACTCAGAATCATGGCATATGTGCCCCATTTCCAGAGAGATAATATCGATTGAAGACTTAAGAGCGGCTGAACAAAAACAGGATGTTCTCCGATGATGAATTGGTCAATCTGGGTTTTGAGTTATATAGGCATCGCCGGTTGGTGTTGTCCAGTGGATAACAGAGAGAAAATTTAGGTGAGATTGAATATAGAGAGAAAGAAATATAGAGAGATTTACCTGTGAATCAAATGCTGCCAATGTGCGACTGAGAGAGAAACCGCGAGAGAGAGATTTACCAGTCAAATGCTGATTTGCGACTGTGTAAGAGAGATAGAGATAGAGAACGAACGAGAGCGAGGGAGAGAGATTTACCGATGTGCACTAAGAGGGAGAGCGTGCATGAAAGAGAGAAAGAGAGCACAACTGAGAGTGAGAGAGTCGACTGGGAGAGGCGATGGATGGAGAGGGCGGGAAGAAGACGAAACGTGAAGTAGAAGATTTGCAGGGAGGAAAAGTGGAAAACCTACCCAGCCCGCGCTTTTTTCAGCGGAATATCAACATTTCTAGCGGCAGTCACCGAATAGCCAATTCAAAAACTGCCACTAGAAATGTATTTTTTTGTAGTGTGGGGTGGGAGGGCATTTGCAATTCCAAGATCCCATAACCAAAATAGCTCTGCAAATATGCCTCCCTCCGATTGGTTTGATAAATTGGTAAGGAGATTCCCATAAGGCTTTACAACAGGTTCTAGACATCAACAATGTCTAGAGCCACCCTTGATACACCACATCAACAATGGCTATTGAAAGATTTCCGTATTAGTCATTGGGTAATGGCCTTTTACCTCTGCTACATGCTGAAGATGCTCATGTATAAAGATCTAAATACACACAATGAAAAATCAAAACCAGAGAAACATGCAGAGAAGACCAAGGTATATGTGATTCGGCAATACCCAAAATACCCATGCATGGAAAGTGTGTATGAATAGATTTCACCTGCGTGGTTTGGAACCAACCTTATCAGCACGTTAAAGCCGTACATTGAGAATATTTCCAAGTACAAGAGATGTTTCTAATATGCAGCTACAAGTGCTGTAAGGAGTAAATTCAGATTCAAGTTATGCACATTGTATTGCAAGTTCAAGTTAATGAGAAGATCCTATCTCTTCATACAATGGATGATTATTTGCAATCAAAATCATTGGTTAATTCAGAAGGATGGTGTTGATCTAGGGCTGTCAATGGGTAGGGCAGACCTGACAGACCCAAACTTAACCAACCTAATTATATAGGGTTTGGGGCTGCATTATGTTCTCGTATATAATTGGATCAGGATAAGTTTTGATTATTCCAAACCAATAAAGATCTGAACTGACTATATATATAATTATATTCCTAGTGGTTGCATTTTCCACTCTACAAGCATTCAAGACCATTGAATATGTGCAAAACCCCATCATGATCAGATTCAAAATGAATCAAGATATACGAAGCATTTAACCCAATCTAATTAGATCTAACACACTTATCATAATATTTACCATTCCAAAGTATGGAAAAACTAACAACATTACCTCCTCACTGCATGTACTCTACTGACACTTTCTTTAGATGGTAGATTATGTAGAAGCATTGTAGCATCAACATCTTTGAGAATATCCAACTCCTCGCAGGGTTCATCTCCACGGACAGAAATGGCCAAGCGTGTTCCTGAGAAATAAGGGTTTAAAATGAAACAAGCAATGATAGGAATTGCAGAATTAAAATGTGAATAATTCAATTAACAAGGTTAGAACACCCAATCCAATCAAAGTTTGACACCACTTGTAGTTTTTGTTATGCTTATTGGAATATACAGAAGGGAATCCTCAATGACTCAGACCATTCAATCTAAGGTGGAATTTGGACGTCTAAAGTCTGATTGAAATTAGATACACCTGAAATCTGATAAGATCTTATTGAGATATGGACTTAATTTTATGTGTGAAAATCTATGTGAAGTCTAATTAGACTATTGTATCAGATTTGCCTACCAAAGAGCCCACATATCCCTTAAAAGGTCTTTGGGGGGACTAGGAAGTCAACAGGAAGAAACCCACCATTATAATATTTCCTTTACATATAAATTACAAAAAGGGCAAATTTTGAACATCATTTTCTATTAACAAAATAAAACCTAGGTTATCTTTCACAACCTTCAAATGTACAGATTTGTCCACATACGCTTCTCAGTTTGAAACTGATTATAATAACTTACTATTTACTGACATATCATTAGGAGAATATTAGAATATGAATCAGATAAAAAAAAAATACTCAGTAGCATATCAACAAGACAAGATCATAATAACTTACTATTTACTAGCATATCAATAGGGATCTACAGCCCAGCCACCTGAATCCCTTAAGCTAATCAATATGATTCTACTACTTAGGTACTTACAGAAATTTAAGCAAATCTAAAAATAAAATTGAAGAAGATAACACCAGATTCAACAAGAATGTGATGAACGAACAAAAGTTCAAGAAGACAACACCAGATTCCCTACTAATATCAACATACATGGAAAAAGTTCAATCCTAAAAAGGGGGATAACTATCCTAGGTCATGGAGGTTTTCAATCTTACCTTCCATCGGTGATGAACGAACAAGGATATGCGGTGTGCGCAGAACCTGAGACGAGGAGGCTATTTCAGAACAAAGAAAAACAAAGTTGCTGAAGAGAGACAACCTTCGTTGAACCAAGAAGATTGTGGCCTGATTACGAGAAATCTACTTCGTCGGGAAATGAACTCAAGCTTCAAATGCAAGGAGGTCTCCCACTTCTTACTACACTCTAAGAAGTGGTCTAAAATTGTCGATGCTGTCAGGAAATGAACTCGAGCTTCAGAGCTTCAAATCCAAGGAAGTCTGTCATTGCCAATGCCATTGCCGGTTGGGTGTTATTTGATGGTGTAGGAAGACCGTGAGAAAATGAGCAAAGAGAAATCAGAAATGATCGACCAAGAAATAGAGAGGAGAGCAGGAATACAAATCGCCGGTTCGATGTCTTCAATGGTGCGAGAAGACTGTGAGAGGAGCACCTAGAGGTCGACTGGGAGAGAGAGAGGGGGGAGAGCGGGAATATATGAAAATGTGAGAAAATAGAAGAGTGGGAGGGGGAAAAGCCTCTGTTTCGCGGGGGATTTAATGTTGCGGGCTAAAGATTTAAACTTTCTAGCGGCAGTCTCCCATGTGCCAACTAACAAACTGCCGCTAATGCCCGTTTCTCTTGTAATGATTTCAAATTCATGGGAAATGAGTTCCCGGGTTAGGTTAGAAAATATTTAAATTTCCGCCAGACATTGAACTTGATTTGGCCTTGTTTTATCTGATTTCTAACCATTATAACAATGGTATTAGAGTTAGGTTCAGTTCTTTGATCGGACCAAATCAGATTTGAAATAAATATCAAATGGCATGAACTAATCTAGTCGATTTGACCTAATCAACATATAAACTGAGAATTCGGTTATCGGTTTGGGGCCAATGATCTAAAATTAAGTCCTTATATATTTTTTATATTATTTGGAATAATTCTATGGTAAATTCTTGAATTTTTGGGCTGAAAGTGTGATGGAGATCAAATTCTTTATTGGTGGTAATATTAACGCACACCATGCTATTTTAATATTCACTAGAAATTAGGTTGTTTTATAAGTTAGTTTACACTGTATAAAAAGATGGAGATCCTAGAGGATGATGGATTGCAAGTTTGACATGGAGAAAGAAGATTGATGTGTTTTTGCAAATTATTCGGATAAGATTCAGACCATCACACTCTTAGCCCTAGTTTCTTTATTTCGCCATCTAATTGTTGATTGTTTATACTAATTTGATTATGAATCATGCTTGAAAGTATTTGGATCATAATTTTGAAAATGGTGTATATTTTGGACACTAAACCCTAGGCCAATTTGACATAGTTCTTGTTCACCATACATGGTTGAATCTAGGGTTCCTTGGGGACTATTAACAACCCCTTAGATCACTAATTAAGTGATCGTTTTCATACCTAGGACAAGGGTTTGATGGGACATTACATAAACCAATTTGGCTCACACTTATTAAACCTAGTTGTATTTAGATTAAAGCAAGATAAGCCTATTTTAGCATAGATTACTATATGGGCCAGACTGCTTTTTGCATTTGGGCTAGCAAGTCGAATTTTGCTGGATAAATGGGTCCAATAGTGGGCTGATAGTGTGCTAATCTAAATGGAATTGAGTTTTACAGGCTTTAAGTTGATTTTGATTAATTATGTGTGGTGCTTTGTGAATGCGATTCGTACATGGGCCATTAGTGCTTGGCCCATGTGAAGACTTTGTGTGGCTTTCTACGCCCATCACAACTGAATGTGCATCATTTTTATGATGTTCATACATCATTTAATGATCTCTCACTTAATGGGTCCTACGCTTGTTTCTTCTCCAAAGAAGGGAACCTTGTAGAAACCCTAGCGCATTTGGGCCCATTTAAAATCTAACCTTCTGAACGTAGAATCTACTATGGTAAGACCTAAACTGACTTAGGGACTTATATTATTGATCCCTCATCAATGATATAAGTGCTTGATGATACGGAATATAATATAATGATATCTCTAATGGCATTGGATGATTGGGGCTCAATGGCAACTTCTCTAGGTGTGAAACCCTAGATGCTCATCTTCTCCATTAGTGGCTACTATAATTGACGCTCCTCCAACTTCAAACCTTCCTTTGCTTTTGTCCTTTCTCAACTCTTTACTCTTGCTAAACTCTCTGTGCATGTTCCTATGGTTCACCCTAGTCTAAAACAAGGGGAACCTACGATTTTCTTTCCTAATGAAATATTGGAGAAATTTTATGAAGTTCAAAAGTGGGCTTTGGTTGGAAAATGCGTGCATGGCCGCCCTCCTCATTCAGTATGCAGAATGAGGCATGGGTTACAACCATTGATTCGAAACATGTATTGATTCGGTTTGATGATGAAGGTGAGTTTTAGAAACTTTGGATGTGTGAGTTTTTTTGAATTAAATCTTTTACATTCAAATTATTTAAGTGGCTTCCAAATTTCAAACCAGGTTGGGAACCACCCATCGTTCGAATTTAAATTTCATTTCCTTTGTTCCTAGTGAACTTCTATGCAGAGAACTTACTTTGTTCTATAGCTACGGTAGTGGTGTTAGACAGTGTATGCCCTTAGCTCCAATTAGCATGATGTACATTATGACATTTATTGTAAATGAATAAAGTACATATTTGATTCGTGTTATTGTGGTGTGTTTCTTTGTAATACCCTTAAACTGGACACATATGAGGCTCGTGTTAGTTTAGAATTTTCACAGTCGTTGGATAGATCTGGGGAGATTTATCCTACCAAAGCTGACACTGATGTGCCGCCAAATTGGTTGGGGTGGCTTGTCTCAGCTGCTAGGGTGAGACCTGAGGTACATGCAGTGTGGGTTTTCTTGAAACCTTGAATCAAACCAATTTCTAGTGTTGCCCTGGACCTTGGAGACAGATGGGCAAAACTGGAATGTTACACCTGACCCCTAGACTCGATTATAGTACTGCACTAGGTGTCGGATTGGGCTGTCTTTGATGTGTCAATCAATGAGATCCTTAGAGGGGCTCAAAACCTGGGTACGTTGGGACAGACTAAGAATTCACCTAAGTGGGTGATCATAGTGACTGGATCAGCCCCTTTGTTGGACAAAGTGAATGATCGGGGAAATGCACTCTCTCTGATGGAAAACCTAAACTACCAGCAGTGGATTTCAAATGTGTTTGAAATTTGGTTTTGCAAAATATATTTATATAGAGATACACTTATATATTATGTTCTCACAAATTGTTTGCAAAAGGTTTTAATTTCCATGATCCATGTGAGTATAGAGTGCAGCAGTGTACTTTGCAGCCGAAGGAGAGGTCCTCTCTTGTCAGGTAGTGTTGGATCATTATGGGCTGAGAAGTTAAGTGTAAGACCATTGAGGGTTATACCTGATGGGCTAATCTTGCATCTGCCCACAGTCCTYKGGYYTTYATAAGRTGGYTKGACCCAATGACCATTTAGTGTAAATGTTGGGCCCATTAAGAGCCCATGGTGATGGACTCAGGGGTTTATTATATCCTGAAGGGCTGAGAGATCCATCATATGGATGGCCGAACCCTACAGGAAGGTTGGAAAAATTTTTAAAAATTTCTCTCTCTCCCATGTGGGAATCGCATTCCCTAGTTTAGAAAACTGCATTTTCAATGATCAATCTTCAAATCAAACCGGACCAGATCTAAAACCAAAAGGGAATAGAGGGATATACCTAATATGGAGTAATAGTAATCCTCCAATGAGGTTGTTCATGCCCAAGGAGAAAACCAAAGACTGCTTCCACCGAAGATGACACGGTGCAAGGTGAAGCAGAATCAGCAAGACGGTTCTTCAGTAAGAACTGAATTCTTCAACAAGAATATGATAGAGGGCTGGGGAGCACGACTTCAGATTGCCTTTTTCAACAAAAGGCAATATCAAGAACCGTTCTTGATCACTCCCACTAGTGGAGATCGAACTAGGTAGGGCAGCAAGAGCAGGAACAAGAGCAGAAGACAGAAGCAGTCGAACTGTATATTGTCTTCTCTCTTAATTCAGCAGACTATCTGTTGTTTCTGTTGTGTGTTTGTAGGTTCGCTCTGCTCTCCTATTTATAGCCTTAAAGAGAGGTTCTTATAATCCCATTAGGAGTTTCCTAATCCAAATCTTATATTTGGATCTGGACTCTCTTTAAGAGATAAGGATAATCCTTATCTTATCTACAGATAAAGATCAACCATCCTAATCCAATTAAGAGTTTTCTGATCCAAATCTTTATTTGGATCTGTACTCTTTGAGTGGATAGGGATAATCCCTTATCCTATCTGCTGATCCAAATTCCAAAACCGCCCTTATTTAATTAATCTTATTAAGTCAGTTCGAATTGGACTTTAGGCCCATTAACTCTATGTGCTCACTTAACCTCTTAATTTGCTGCCCAGTTGGCTATCCTTGTATGGCATGGGACCCAAACATTGATATACACATCAGCCACATGGATTCAACCCAGCCTCTGTCACAAGGCCTGGCCGAATTCACTATAGGAGACAGTGAACCCCTGAGTCCATCACCATGGGCTCTTAATGGGCCTAACATTTACACTAAATGGTCCTGGGGTCAAGCCACCTTATAAAAACCCAAGGACTGTGGGCAGATGCAAGATTAGCTCATCAGGTATTGCCCTCTATGGTCTTACACTTAACCTCTCAACCATAATGATCAAAAACTGCCCGACAAGGTATAGTGTTGCACTCTCTACTCACATGGATCTTGGGAATTAAAACCTTTTGCAAACATTTTGAAACCATAATATATATATATATATATATATATATATATATATATATATATATATATATATATATATATATATATATATATATATGTATATCTTCTATATAAATATATTTTGCAAAAACAAATTTCAATAGCTGAAATCAACTGCCGGCAATTTAGGTTTCTATCAGAGAGAGAGCATCCCCGATCATTCACTTTGTCCGACAAAGGGGGTCATCCTATCACTATAATCACCCACTCAGATGAATTCTCGGACTGTCCCAACATACCCAGGCTTTGACCCCCTCTAAGGATTTCACTGATTGGCATATCAAAGACAGCTCAATCCGACACCTAGTGTAGTATCATAATCAAGTCTAGGGGTTAGGTGTAACATTCCAGTTTTGCCCATCTATCTCCAAGGTCCAAGGCAAAACTGGAATTTTGGTCCAGTTTAGGGCTTCAAGAAAACCCACACTGCATGTACCTCATGTCTCACCCTAGCAGCTGAGACAAGCCACCTCAACCAACTTGGTGGCACATCAGTGTTAGCCTTGGCAAGATAAATCTCCCCAGATCTATCCAATGGCTATGAAGATTCTAAACTAACATGAGTCTCATAAGTGTCTAGTTTAAGGGTATTAGACAGAAACACACCATAATAACATGAATCAAATATGTACTTTATTCATTTACATTAAATATCATAATGTGCATCATTCTGATTGGAGTTAAGGGCATACACTGTCTAACATGTCCTACAGTGAATTCGGCCAGGCCTTGTAACTAAGGCTGGGATGATCCCATGTGGTTGATGTGTATATCAATGATAGGGTCCCACGCCATACAAAGAGAACCAAGCTATCT